TTTTATTATTTAATCATTTACGAGGTAGTAATGTATCTTTGAAATACCAAGTATTAATAGTACCTTGCACAATGTTCCACTTTTTTATTTCAGGGATATCCTTACAAAAAGACTGCAATTGTGAAAGAAGCTCGGAAGGACATTCCTCCCTTAGTACGAGGTGATATGTGGGCTGCTCTGCTGGAAGTGGTTGGTGATATCCAAGGACGGTATATTGCTCTTGATAAAGAAACTCCAACACATACTGATCGTCAGGTAAACAAATGATCAGTTGCTCTGCAATTAATATGTAAGTAGATCTTTTGAAAAATAGTTTTGGTTGACTTTCAGATTGAAGTAGACATTCCACGATGTCATCAGTATGATGAACTACTTTCTTCTTTAGAGGGCCATCGTAAATTTAAGCGAGTTCTGAAAGCCTGGGTGGTAAGTCATCCACAGTATGTTTATTGGCAAGGATTGGACTCGTTGTGTGCTCCATTCCTTTATCTCAATTTCAATAATGAAGGTAATTTTACCACAATCAAATTGCTGTCATTTTGTTTTTACCTTTCAAAATATTGTGATATTACAACTTGTTTATATATTATTGGATTATTTTAATTCTGTGACAAGGTTTGTTTATTTTCAGCTCAAGCATATGCATGTTTATCTTCATTTATTCCCAAATACTTACATAACTTTTTTTTGAAAGACAATTCTGCTGTGATTCAAGAATATTTGGCAAAATTTTCTCATTTAATTGCATTTCATGATCCAGATCTTGCCAATCATTTAGCTGGAATTTCCTTTATTCCTGAATTATTTGCAATTCCATGGTTTCTTACAATGTTTTCACGTAAGTTCAGTTCATTCCTTGTATTGTTGGGAAATTGACATAAACATATCAGTGTGTACCCATTGTAACAATAATTTTGTTCAAAAGATTTTGTTTTAGTTGATAGTAATATACAATATGCTATAATTGGTGAGAATAAGTTGGAATGTCTATTGTTTTTTCCATCAGATGTATTTCCGCTACATAAAATTTTACATCTATGGGATAAGTTACTACTAGGAGATGCATCATTTCCACTGTTTGTTGGCTTAGCCATACTTCGCCAACTTCGAGACACTCTTCTTGCTTCTGGCTTTAATGAATGCATATTACTATTTTCTGATTTACCAGGTGAGAACTTGTATTCAAATTGTCAAGAAATTATGTTGGAATTGTAAACTTATTAGATTATTTTTGGATATGCAGAAGTGGACATGGAACGTTGTGTCAATGACTCAATTGAAATGTACTGTAGCACCCCACGAAGTGTAACTTACCGACAACATGAGTACCAACCTCCACCGCAGTCAAAGGCTTCTGAAGTAAATGCTGACCTGGTAAGATTTGATTTTAGTTTGTTGTCTGACCTTCTGAAATACAGAATTTGAATTGAAAACTTGTTTACAATGATTTTAGGAAATGACACCCATTCCAGTTAGTGAACTGCAAAGTGAATTTTGTCCTCGAATAAGTGCTGCAAATCTTCTGGAACTATTGGATTTGCAGCATATCAAATATTCCCGACCAAAAGTAATTGTCGTGGACATACGCTCAAGTGAAGAGTATCCTTTTTCTGCAAATGTTTGTTTGTTGTTTACAGTGCCTGGGCTCCAGAAATGGATTTTTTAACATAGGCTATATTTGTTAACTTATTTGGCAGCACAGTATTAATTTTATCTCATAGACGTCCTTCACCCTCACAGCATAAGAAATAAGATGGTTACACAGATGTTGAGCTATAGTGATTACATCAGTTGGAATGAACAATTTATAATAGTATATTACGCGACTAAGCGTTTGCACCAATTTGGAAAGCAGGCATCACACGCGCACGCACACATGCACACACTCTCTCGCGCTCTCTCTATCTCTCTCTCTCTCACTCACAAGAACGGCTCAAAAGGCATCTGGCATCCAACGGATGTATGCAATAATTAATAATGTTAAATTTTATTGCATAAGTAAATGTTTTGAAAGTGAGTGACAGTAAGTGAGAGTTTTCAAATTTTTATGAATGCAATAAAGCAATATTATTATAAACCAAGTTGCAAGAAGAATTTATTTTCTATAGCACAATTATAAATGTAAAAGAAAATCAAAGTTAATTTTTGGAGACAACTTCATTTTAATGAAACAAGTTCTTGACCTTTATGCAAAAAAACATTGTTTGTTTGACCCCCCCCCCCCTCCCCCAATTCGGCTAGCTATGCAGTTAACTACCACGTCCCCTTGATTCACCTGCTGTGATTGGTTGAATGTGTGAGGCAACAATTGTTCGTGCCATAATTGGCTATTAAGTCATCTGTGTCATAAAATCCCATTTTATGAACGATTTCTTGAAACAAAAGATTGTTTATAGTGATGGTAGCGGTATTAAATAAAATATGTTTATTCATAACATTTCATTTAAAAACAATTTTGAAAAGATGCAATGGAAGTTTTTGTTTTTTGTTCATGGATCATACAAATTGAGATTTGAGAGAGTGAATACACTCTCAGTAGTTTAGAGAAAAACTGTGAATTTTAAATATCTATTTCAGATAAATGTGAATATTTCAAATCAAAATAATACTTAAATTGATATTTTATACCCATAATTCCATTAATGTTATATAAAAATTATCACAATTATACATAGATTAGCGTTATTCTGTTGTATTACTTACCACGCGTTTTAAGTATCTGCCTTGGGATTTTATTCCTTATAAATTTTCAGATATAACCGTGGTGCAGTTCCTAATAGTATCAACATACCTTTTTCAACAGTTAATATATCTGAAAGAATCTTACCTACTTCACCTGAAACAGCTCATTTGCAAAATAATAAAGGAAAAGTTATTGCAATTGTTGGTTCTCGGGGACCAAGCATGCCCCAGGTAATATACATAATCATATGTACTTTAACATGGGAGGGGTTGCATGGGAGAATTTGGATCCCCAGGCTTTATCATTTCATATTAATTGTTGTTTGACAATGTTGTGTATCCTTGCGGTTTTCAGTACCTTTCCCCCAATCTTGTATCTTCAAAATCCATTACTCATCACACTATTCCAGACTGTCTATCAACTTTCAGAAGTTAGGTATATCTCTTGTGTATATCTGGGGTCACAAAGGCTTACTGTCAAGCAGACTGACCGCAGTGATAACCTCCATTCCCTGTGACACAATCCAAATATCCAATCAATTTTCACAGGGAAAAAACATTGCTGTTTCTTTTGGAAATCGTCAGAAACAAGAATTACAGTCAGAAGTTTGTATTGTATTCACCGTTGGTCTATTGTGTGTTCAGGACTAACAGGAATGTGGCAAAAGTTCATAATGGCCTAAAACAGCATAAAATTTGCATTTGAATAAAAACAAGCAGCAGAATTTGCAAGAAAGAAAACTAACAGGGCACAATGTGAAATTTCCTACCCCACAAAGCATGAAAACGTAAAGTAAAAGAAAACAATAGAACATAACACTTATTCAGTGTTTGTTGCTAAGATTGTGTGTAAGAATGCATTACTCTACTTTACTCATACATTCTGAAACTTAACATTTACCATGTATTAATGTTTAATAACTTCTTTTGCATCAGCAAATGTTTGATTAATTTTATACCGAATTACAGTAGTTCATGAAGTTTGAAGACGCCCATGGATAGAAACTATCTCTGGGGTCTGTTTTCTCCCAGGCGACTAGCCCTTGAACTACTGCGGACTTGCCAACTGTGAGCCACATGTTTTGTATCAAGCTTCTCATTACGGATCCCATTGTGAGCTGAGCTTGCTCGAACATAAATACCAAGCAAGAAATCTTAGTTATCAGTAAATCCTTGTGATAGCCGAAAGTGTGTCAGCATGAGCGAACTCGTCCTGAAGCTCCTGGAACATTGTGGTTCCACTTAGGATCTCGTCCAGAGGTTCTCAGCAACAACCTGACTCATCCAGAGGCTACCACGCACGAAAATATTTTGTGTATTATGGGTTCGTAGGCTTCTGCAGTCGGAGTCAATTCATTCTTGGCTATCCGGGATGAGCCGCGTCTCGGTCAATTGTACTGACATTTCGGCCATCTAGCTGTGGCCTTCTTCCACAGGCCACAGCTAGATGGCCGAAATGTCAGTACAATTGACCGAGACGTGGCTCACCCCGGATAGCCAAGAATGCATTTTGTGTATTAACTCATCTAGAGCTGTCAAAGGATTAAACAAGACATGACCTTTCCTGCAACCCCTATGATATGAATGAATTGAAGCAAGAGTTCATTGTAAGTGACCATTCATAATTCATAAGGTTTCAGTTCATGGGAATTGGTCTGCCTGTGTATTGAACAAAAGCATCTAAGTATATCAACGATTTGGAACATAAAAGACCCTCCTCAGAACTATGAAATACAAAACGGCAGCAACCCTATTAAGGCTTAAGATATAAACAAAAAAGTAGAACTCTGGACAATAATTTACAATCTTTCAATAAATCTAGGATGGTGTTCCAATTACTCATACAAAAAAAGTATTGAATGTTAACCCACAGCTTAATCTTGCAAGGTCCAACTTCTTTCCCACAATGAAATCTTATGAGACCAAACACAACCTGATATGTTGTATGGTGCATGGGGCCTCATATTGCCATTTCCAAACATGCACATTTCCTCAAAAAAATATTCTTACATATATAAGCATGTCTGAAACTATCTCCATCTGTCTGTCAATTTATCTCTCTCTATCTATATGTAGTACATGTAAGGTAGGTACACTATCCCAATTTGATTTAAACATTATTGAATATCATTTAACAAGGTTTCAGTTTTGCTCATGTTTTAGTCAAAACATGTGTTCTTGTCTTTTTGAATTTTATAGCTCTAAAGTACTACATATTCCGCAAGGTTAGCACACTTAGATAATATTTTTAAATTATGTACCATTTGACCAAAATTCATGAACTTAATAATTTGCCTTGAATTTTCAATTACTTGCAGTTTGCAGAAGTACTGGTGAAAAGCAGCTTTCCACGAGTTTGTACTCTACATCGTGGAATCCAAGTCTTACGATCAGCAAATATACTAGTAGTGCCTGGAGCTATGTGACGAAGGCATTATTCTGGTGCTTCCTGTGAAAGTAGCGATTCATTTTGAAGTGACACAGGCAAGTCACCAGTTGAGATCAACTGAAGTTTATAAAAACTAACTGTATACCCTGCATCCTTCTCTGCCAAATAGCAGTGAACTGTAAACAAAAGTCAGTCCTTTTGTATTTTGAAACTTTTGAATGGATCTTTTAAACAAACAGAACTATTTTAGTACAAAAAAAAAAGCCAGGGAATAGAAAATGACATTGAATCATTTTAACATAATTGTTCTGAGTAAAATTTAGATGTTTAACACATTAATGTTCTACTAAAAAAATTTAAATTTACTCATGTGTAACATCAAATGATTTGTTGTTTCACCTGCTTTACTAGTATTGCATTGCATAGTTTTGCATCATGTAATTGATGCAAAACAAAACCTTTAACTAATGTAGGATTTTTAGCACCAATTTTCTGCAGGAATACTTTCTTTGAATGTTCAATAACCATCTTTCTATTAAAAATGCTCTCTATTTATTATGTTCCAACTTGGGTAAGAACATTTATTATATTTTTACCATTGCTGCTTTTTATATACAAATGCTTGTAAATTTACTGCTAAGAGTGTTGAATGTTACAATTTTTGTTGCTTGGAAACTCTAATGAAATTCCAAAGGTAAGGATTAAAGGTGTAGAAAGTGATTATATTGAAAATGAAAAGTTATTTTATTGTGAACCTTTATAATGTCAAATGCTAATGCATGTATATACAGTTATTCATCAGAAATTGAAACAATCATTAAACATTCACACATTAACTTACAACAATAAACAAAACTCCTATACATTTAACATTCAAGAACTAACTTTAAACAATCAATTTCCATTAAAACCTGATGATGTTGAAGAAAAAGTTAAAACTTCAACTTTGAAAAGCAAGCAACTCAAATAAAATATACAATTCAATCCAAAACAGGAGATTGCAGTTTTGTTGGTACAAGTACACAAGTCTCTCTCAGAGATATAGCATAATTTAGAGAAACTTGCTTTGCCCTGAAGAAAATCTGTCATTAAGATGATGTGCCTTCTTTAATATAGAACGCTTTTGAGCTTCATCAAAACGATTGACCTGGAGATCTACTTCCCTACTGAAGGGGCGTCTTTCCTGAACTTCTCCATCTTTTTCAGCTTTCTGAAATCAACAACAAAAGAGAAATGGAATACATTGTTTTAGATAAGCTCTTCATCATGTTTACCTTCGTTCTTTTATTTCTTTTCTATAATTACTTGGCACACTCAAGACAACTTATATGCACGAAGAACAAATTTTAATAGTAATTTACTGGGCAAGAAAGTGGAGGTTTCCATGACTAGAAGGGACAGTTCCCAGATGAGGCTGACAGGCAGTCTAGAAATTCCAAGGAAATTCACTTTTGGAATTTGATGTGCAATATATTATATGGGACATCAATTTTATGACAGTTTGACCATGTGTCTTGCAAATTTAATTGTAGATTGTAAGAGTATACTACATATTTTTCCATTGCCTGGTATGTATTTTGGTTTCTAATTGGTGTACTTTCAGTAATTAGTACAAAAAGTACTTCTGGTACATTTTCAGGCTGGTGTTGCAAACGCAGGTGGCAACTTTCATTTCTGCAAACTGTATAAGTATATGGCACATTGTAGATGGTCTCAAATAAAATATTTTAAAATAGTTGAATTAAAGTGTATTAATTATCAGAAGCAAGTTCCAATTTCAATAGTAATTCAAAGATTAGATTGTACTCCCTCAACATAATTATTTCATTTTTCTTTATGTCTATTTTGACACTAAAACGTAGACTTCCAAAAGCACTTTTAGTCTCAAACAACTGAGCAACACAAAGATTTTTGGTAAGTTATATTTGTTGACGAATAGAAAATCTGAATTTCTTCCTAGAGATACAGTTTATAACGTCATTTCACTTTTGAATTGGTTAAGTTCTGAATGCTAAAAGTAAATTTTTGTGACTTCCTTTGTGATAATAAATATTGTTTACTTAATGGATTGTTCTTTGTTTCCCAATGTGATATCTACACGTCATGTTCACCAAAAACCAAAACAAAATAAGAGGATCTGTATTTAAATATACCTTTCGCTTAGCCAACAGTTTCTCTTCATGCAGCTCCATGAGAGAGCGGCTCCCACGTTTGCTGCTATGTTCATCAGCAAGCTGCTGCATTGCTTTGTCACGTTCCATTACTGCCAGGTGTTCTAATGCCCCTCGATCAGGTGATTTTGACTGCAATTTATAACAGTAACATTAATATGGCTGTGCAAAAGTAGATCAGGTGGATAAATTAACAATAAACTGTGTGGGGAACTATGCAACACCTAAAATAAAATTTCTTTAATTGAAAAATACATAATCTAGTACGGGGAAAAAATTTGTTTTAATCCCTCATTATATTATTATTTTTTTTACTCCAAATGACAAATAAAGTAACTGAGCAAACAATTATAATTTTCCATCAAATGCATATTATTTTCTTCTGGTTCCATTACACTAATCTATAAATTTATTTATACACTTTTTCAATGTGTATTTCATCATACATATTTTTAAGTTACATTAAAATTATACTTAAAATTAAAAACAATAACAGAAATTAACCATTATGAAAAAGTACAATACTAGTGAGGGACAGTTGCCTACCTTAGGATTTTTCCTTTTTCTTTCTCGGTCTGCAGGAGTGTCTGTCCAAACCGAACGGTCTCCAGCCTCTGGGCCCTCTCTCATTCTAAACTGTCGTGGTTTCAACCCTAATTCTGGAGCTCGGTCTGCTGGTAATTCCAACATCCAACTCTCACGTTGTACTGGAGTATCATTTTCAGGACGTTCCTAATACATCATGTAATAAGGATATGAATAAGTAGTGGTAGTAATGTGACCTGTGATGTGAGATTCATCAAAGCTTACAACAACATTTGTACTGCATTAAAAAGTTAAAACTAACAAATATTTTGATAATGCACTTAGATAAAAGAAGAAATTGTAAAAAATATACTAAATATTTGCACAAATTCCACCCTTTAAATTATTTTTATTCTCCACATAAATATCAGTTTTATTAGTAGTTTCCATAAATGTGAACAAAAATCACCAAAATGACCAGCATAACATGGCCAACATCAGTTAATAAACTAGTCCGTCAGATTTTTAACAAGAGAAAGTACAATCACTAATAATTTTCTCAAATACTTCTGAAAATAAGTAAATAAATTTGATAACTAAAAATAATGCTATATTTCCAATATGCTACATCTACTGGATATCTGAGAAAAAACAATTTTTTTTTGTCATGTTCATATTTCTTCACAGGGTGAAACTGCAATAAAATGCAATATAAAATTTACTCATGTGAATGTTAAACTATTTGTAGAAACAAAATTATTTAAATGATAACTATTTAAATAGTTCAGTTTAAACAAAACGTATTAGTCGAAATTGGTGCAAAATACAAAAAAGGGACTCATTTTTATGAGCCATTTCATTTTGTCATAACAAAGTGAATTTCTATAACAGCATTGTTCTCAAGTGAAAAGAAAAAAAAAGACATTTTATTCAAATCCACCCCCTACTGATTAAGTTGGTAACAAATCTACAAGCCTGGACAACACAAAGGCTTTCTGTAGAAGTGGAAGCCCCAGAGCCAGGTAGTGTTAAAATCTAAATGTGAAAGGAAGATACCAGTCAGGATTTTAAATTTTTTTTTTTTCTTCACCAACAGGCTTTGTTTACTCACAAGGAATCCAATCCTACTTTTATGACCTCCGATCCATTTTCAGGGCAGAGCTTTGTATTTGATATATCCTCTCAGTGCTGATGATAAAATAAATGTGAAGAATGAAAAACATAATTCCATTTTCACTGATGCCATTTCAAGATTCAAAAGGTAGTCCACAATAGCATTTCGAAGAGACATTGTTGCAAGAAAAACAAAATTGTAGTCATCATCCCAAGTGGTCATGTGCAATCAAGATTACAAAGAAAAGATTGTTTCCTCACACGTAATGGCTAATGTAAATTTTAGAGTTATTATGAAAATATGAATCATGTTAATTTATTTCACTGGCTGAAGACCACTTTACATAAATGACATTATCCTTATTACAGGACATATTGCTTTTACAAGAATTAGGAACTTAACATATGTATCAATACATATGCATAATAATTAATTATTTTTCCGTAATTCCTTTTAAATGTGATTTTTTCATTGTTTAAATGCTTTTTTGCATCCCTAATTTAGCCAGAATAAATGCTGTTTTGCATACCTATTTTAATAAAAATAAATACCTTTTTGTCTGCCTATTTTAGGAAACACAAATGCCTGAACTTCCGAGCTCTAATTATAACATTTTTTATTTTTGTTCACAAATCCCAGCAAAAAAAGACACTCACTCCTTAAAAATTATTACACAAACAACAAGAACATAAAAAAACTTCTTACTTCCAACAGATACTTACACCCATAGCCATGGATTCACGCAACTGTTTGGCCCGAATTTCCAATTGATGTTGAATCCTACTGCTAGACATGTGTCCTTCAGGAAGGGGTCCCATGTCTTCATCACTTTCATGTGCATCATCTTCTTTGGCTTTTATCTCCACCGGGATAGTCTTGGGACGAAATCCAGGAGGAAGTGCAGGTCCATACATATCTTCATCATCTATTTTCTCTTGAGTTGCCTCTTCATTGAGTTTCAAATGATCAGGAAATGAAGGGCCTATTATGGGCTTGGTATTGCTTTCTTCTTCCACAACAGTAGGCAACTCTTCTAAAAATTTAGATTGTAAATGAGCTGGCAGAGAGGGTCCTATCATAGGTGTCTCATCATTTTTATTGCTGACTTCACCAGAAGAGGAATGTTTCTCACGCCTCGGTTCTAAGAATGGGGGGAGTCTTGGACCAATTACACAAACATTTCTGGAACTAGACAGTGTATCATCTTCGCTGTCAGGGCTTCTCAGATGAGGAGGCAAAACAGGCCCTATAGCATCAGTTTGTTCTTCATCAGAGGAGCCTGAATTTTCTGATTTCCTGGAGAGTTTAGTTCGAAGTTTTAGTGGAAGTGATGGTCCAATTGTTCCTTCCTTGGAAATAATTTTTTCTTGTAAAGATAAACCAGTACCACTTTTGGTAAATTGTTCATCTATCATTCGACCTCTTAGATTAAGTGGCAACTGAGGACCAATTAAATCAGTGCTATCTTTTGATTCTGAATGTTGTTTTTTAAGAATTTGTGATGAGTCTCTATTATGGTCTTCCTTATTTTGAGTTACTGCTAGTAAGTGAGGAGGCAAAGAAGGTCCCTCTAAATCATCATTCTGAGAGATATCAGTCATTTTTTTATTATTTTTAACATTATCAGAATCTTCACTGCCAGATAAACTCTTAACCAAGTGGGGAGGTAAAGCAGGGCCAATAAAGTTGGACATCTTTCTGAAACATAAAAAATTAATATAATTTTTATATTTAATTAAAATAATTACTACTTACACTTGCATAAAACTCCTAAGTCACTTGTCTAAAGCAATAATCTTACACACCTACAGCTTTCAAAATTTATTCAATAAATATTTCAGTATTATGAAGACTTTTTTGTTGATCCAGATCCAAACTCGATGTCCATCTTGCAGTGCAAAAGCATGATTAATAAAACTATTCATCACCTTATCAGTCACTTTTTTTTTATTTTAGGAGAAGATATTTTAAGTCTATACATTGATATTACAAATAATAAACTATCTCTATTTTCTTCAATATATACATTATTTTTACAGCTTTGTCGACTTCAACATTTTTACAATTTTTTTGCTACTGTATCTCACAGATTTTGCTAGACCTGCTGTTAAAATTCCTTTCAGACTTTGTCTAGCACTTGATGCAAACACAATATGGTGCAAACAGTCACAAACCACATGTCCACACTCAGGATCATGAGCTAAAGCATAAAGACTATCTTCTGTGTCATGACGCCTACTGCCTCTATCTTTATTCCACTGTTTCACAACAGCTCTTTGGGGTACTTTTGGAAGTTGATTTAAATGGAAATTTTTAGCACCAGGACTTGTATCCTGCCAACACATCTGTCCATCTTTCGACATTTCCACATAATCTTGTAATGACTTTAGAACAGGAGAATACAATTCTCGAAAAGACTCCACCTGCGGTGACACAATATTGTCAATCTTATTTTTATCTTCACCAAATATCATACGGAAATCACCTCCGTACGATAAACCTGTGACAGCACGATATAAATCTGTTTCAGTGAAGCTTTCTGGAAGAAGTAATAAAGAAGCATGAACTGCACTGTGCAAGTTTTGCTGCAAAGCAGCACGTACTTGAGTGTTGCTTGATTTGTGTAAAATTTCAACTGGTTTATGCAGCCTACCCGACACATACAAATCATTCCAGTCTAGTAAGTCTGTAACAAGACTAGCTCGTGATATTACACCATATTTAATCATTGTGTCACTATCTGGCAACTTAATCAGTGTATTAAAATACATTTTTGCACCCCAGTTTTCTTGGTAGCTGGCAACAAAATTATGACCAAACCAACGTAGTGAGGAGTAATGGTGCGGATTCCACAAAATATTTTGTTCATGCCATTTGTAAGGATCTTCAACAGCAATAACTAAATCAATCATGTTTCTTTTCCCAGTACTTTGCCCCGATTGTTTCATGACACCAGAACCATACGCAAAACATAATGTAATATTCTGAGGGAACAACGACAATAACTTTACATACGTCGATGATACACCAATTAATGCTTTATTTACAATCATTTTCACGACTATAAAATAAATTGAAACTAAAATACTTAAAATCAATTCCCTACTATAAACATGCTACTTAACAGTAGGCTTCGCACCTCAAATAAACATTACAATTATAACCTCTACACACAACAGATGATCATTTTGCTTTTTCCATGATGAAGTGTTCCTTTATTTGTCAGAAATGAAGTCAACGTAGGGAAACGATAGTCACTTGTCAGTATTTTATGGTCTGCTATTGGAGAGAGATTGTAAACTCAATGGCAACAGTGTGATGTGAGGAAAGTCTTTGAACTAAGCATAACCAACTTGGTAAACAACTCACGAACGGGTTGCGTGGGGGGACCAGAGAGTGACAGTGAAAGTGCAGCAAAATCAGAACCTTGTTGGAGCTGTGTTGGGTCATGTCGATCTGTATTTAATAGCAAGGTTACTGCATCATTTATTCTTGTTAACACTCTAGTGTGTGCATTTCGTCTTCTTGAAAGAAATTTGAAGTTCCAAAATAAGAAAACTATGAGTAGTCCGCGACAAAACGAAATGGAAGTGGATGAAGCATCAGGTTCTGGTACCAAAAGTGTTATGGCATCATCAGGCACTGTTGGAAGTGTTTCCATATCTTTACATCCATTGGTCATTATGAATATATCAGAACACTGGACCAGGCTGCGAGCTCAGAAGGGTACTCCACAACAAGGTATTTTTTTAAAAGATTTTTTTGTTGACAAATTTTCAGATGATGTATGAAGGCAATTTTGAATTGGACATAATTATTTAAGATGTTTTAAAGTGGCCACTTTCTTTACAGTAATTGGAGCTGTTATTGGGAAACAGAAAGGACGAAATATTGAAATAATGAATTCATTTGAACTTCTCTTTAGTTGTATCGGTGGTGATACTATTATAGACAGAGATTACTATAATACTAAAGAAGAACAATGTATGTCTTTGAAATATTTTTGTGTTTTTTACTACATATTTCTCATTACATTAATTTTGGATTAAATGTATTTTGCAGTTAAACAGGTGTTTAGTGATATGGATTTTTTGGGTTGGTATACAACTGGTGATCAACCTGATGATGGAGATATTAAAATACATAAGCAAATTTGCGAAATTAATGAAAGTCCTGTTCTGCTTAAATTAAATCCTCAAGCAAGACATAGTGATGTAAGTTGCTGATTTTTTAATATACATATCAGTGTCACATTTTCAGAAGTAAGTGGTGTGCTAGTTCCTGGTATTTTGTGTTTCATGAGAAGTTACCTGTAACCATGTACGAGTCTGTAATTGATTTGGTTGGAGGGGAAGCTACAATGCTATTTGTTGAGTTGCATTACACATTAGCTACAGAAGAAGCTGAACGTATTGGAGTGGATCATGTTGCTCGTATGTCCAGTAATGAAGCTGGAGAAAGTTCTTTGGGTAAGATCTGTGAAGATAAATTAATGTTTCTCTGTACATTTAGTCTTGCATGAAGGTTGAATATGTAGGGGATGTAACTTATTGTTCACTTGGAATAAATATTTAGTACACAACAAAGTACTTCAATTCATTAAATTTAGTGTCATCAGTAGGGGTGGATTTTGATGACCTAAAACATCACCAAAAAATGATCAATAAATGTGCTTAAAATGTTTCAAAAATGCCCTATAAGCAGAGATAAATGACATAAGAAAATTTGATCAAAACCAGTTTAGATGAATAACTCAAGCTAATGGATATGTTACTGATGTAATCGAGGCTTCCTTTTTGTTCAAGTGAACTTGGCTTGCAAACTTTTGTTTTGAACTGGACTAAGAAATCTTTGTCTTAATTGACAATGAAATCTGCCAAACTGACAATGTTGCTGAAGGCATCACAGGAATCTTAAATTACGTACAACTGCTAACATTACAATTTTCAAGTGAAGAAATTGAATAGGCAACTCGGGAATTCTGTGAGGAACATTTGCTGCATCTCGTAAATATTATTTGAAGCAACTACCATTAAAATGATATTAATATCAATGAAATACTTTGAAAATGATGAAAAAAAATTATTTTTTTTAAACTTATTTAAATTTGAAGAAAAATGCAAAAAAAGTCATGTGAAAATGGTTATTTTTGTCATAACATAAAACTTTGTCCTTTTTATCATAATACTAGCTGACCCGGCGAACTTTGTTCCGCCTTAATGGCAATAAATAAGCAGTTTTTTT